TTTCTGTTCTTTTCACCTGACAGGAACCTCGAGAGGTTGAATCGGTACTGAGCTCAGCTTTTTAGACTAGACCACACTCTAGAGAAGTGTAGTGTGTAGAGCTTAGACTGGTCATAGACGTCGCAGTATGTTCTTTAACTCATCAGCCTGATGCAAGTGCAGCTGTTTCAGCTATCTGTTCTTTAGCGCGCTCTCTGAGGAAGCTTTGTGGGGGTGTGGGGGGGCGTTAGGGGAACAACACCAAGTCATGTTCAGCTCCATCAACTAACATTAAAAAAAACCCCAAAAACAGCCAATTTGATGACTTGAAGAGCCGCTAACGTAACAGAGTAGCCTCAGAGTAAAAGCTTTGTGACTTAAATCTGGAGTTCAAGGTGTTTGGGTGAGATTAGCTGAGACGTAGTTCCTCTGTGTAGGTGTGTAATGCAGTTGCAGGTATGTTGTATCGTGTTTTGTTAGGTGAGATTTTAGTCAAACTGTTTCTGTCTTCTCGCTCTCAGAAGAAGACGAACGGGGCCCCGAATGGCTTCTATGGAGATATCGACTGGGACAGATACGTAAGTAAAAACGCTGCTTTGTAGGTCCAAGCTGACTTTCAAGACTGTTTGTTGGTTTCACTTTCATGTCGTGACTCTTCTGTGTTGATCTGTGGTTTTATAAAACAGATCAACAGCTTCACAGATATGTTAATTGTTTGTAGATGGTCCCGTCAGGTCAGCGGGTTTACGTGTGTAGCTTACACGGTGGGTGTGGGTTGTCTGTGTGGAGTTTTTTACTATGCAGGAACAGCTGCTGTTTGTCACTATCATTCAGACTCATTGTGTCTTTCAGAACTCTCCTGAGGTGGATGATGAAGGCTACAGTATCAGACCTGAAGATGAATTAGAAGAGGAAGATATCCTCAGCACAGTTTTTAATACGTGGCAGTTTCTGTCACGTTACTTGGCAAGAACTGGATTGCTTCATTGTTTGTGTTGCATTTGCTGCACACTGTTGGGTCAGTTTTTGTCGTGCATGTGATGGAAGACAAACGTGACGTGGCTCACAGAACAGATCAATATGATTAGTGTTTTACGGAGAAATGGCATACAGATAATAAAATGGCTCAAGTTCTTTAAAAAGGTGTTTAGGCCCCAGATTTAAGATACAGAAAAGTCTTCATTTTTATTATGTGGCTAATAAAAAAGTAATTAAAAACAAATTTATAAAGTGGGTCAGAAAAGAACATTTCTAAGTGTCTGTGAATGTGTCTTAAACAGGACGATGTCACAGAAAACAGACTTTTGTAAAGAAGAAACGATTTAAGTACCGACACGCAAAGTTTCACTGAGGAATGTGGTTCCCGGGTTTCTCATCAACCTTAAGATGAAATGTAAACGTTTGTTTTCCTTGACATTTTTCCTTCACTTGCCCCCAAAAAGTCTCACTTCTTCTCCTCCGACGAGTCCGAGGAAGAAGAGGACCACAGGAAAAAATTCAAGATCAAGATCAAGCCTCTGCCGCCTGATCGTGTTGTGGAGGCACCCTCAGTCGATGAGCTCAAAGCCTCCATAGGCAACATAGCTCTGTCCCCATCTCCCATGGTGAGTAGATCTGGTTTCCCTGGTCCGTCTCTGCTAGCTTTAAGTTAGCCGTGCATGCATGCATGCATCATTTCTGTTGCTCTTCTTTTTTGTGGTTTTAACTGTGCATAAATGTAGCCGTTGCTCACGTATCATCTTTTCTACTGTGTGTGGTACTATATGTTGAGCTGCTACTGTTTCTCTACAATATAAAGCTGCTTTAACCAGTATTGCTCAGAAGGGACATAAGGACACCATGAGGAGGACTGAAATCACAATTCATTCCTCTGTTATGATTGATAAAAGACCTCTAATTTCATATAATTGATTTCAAGTGTTGGCGATATAGTCTTGGTCAGACTTGGTCATAGTCGCTGACTTCAGTGTTTGAGTAACTCGAGGCAGATGTCCTACCGCAACAGAAACCATCTAAGCACCGCTGCAAAATAGCAGGGTGTGAAGCTCTTATTTGAAGCGATGCAGCTCAGTTGACGAGTCCAAATTCTAACCAGCGTCCTCTTCAGACAGCCCATAATTAGCGACATCCCTGCCTCTCTAGCTGGGACCCATAACTTGAGTGTTTTCCAGTGAGGAGAGCTGGCTTAAGTATCTATCTTGAATTATTCAGGTAGGAAAGTGGGCACCTGTGTGTCAGTCTGCTGTGGTCATTTGAGCCTCTGGGCCTTAATAATTGAGTCCAACTTCAGTGTGCTCACCCACTGACTGTTAACCTGATCACGTGTGAATGATTTTTCACGCTGGTCACGTCTGTGTGAACGTGTATGAAGAGCTAATGCATGAGGAGGCCTGTGTTTTTGGAAGGTTGCACACCTACATTTCTTACCCTTTCTCAGTTTTTGATCATTTTCAAAGGACTATTATTT